ACGAGACAACGAAGTGAAGAAAAAATGGCCTGAACTAGCGCGAAGCCTAGCGCGAGGTCTAGTGCGTTCGCGCTAGTCCCAGTTCCGGAAAGGGTCTGTTAGGGGCAAAAATCGGAAATCTGGTGGAATTTTCACTTAACCTATATAAAGTCAAGCTTGCCCAAGGAGTAGAATATGAAGGTTTTCATAGTTTTGTGCAAGAAACAAAGAGGCAAGAGGCAAGGAGGAAAATCCAACATCAAGTTCTTCTTTTCTTCTTCTTGTTTTTACATTTTGAATGAAATTAAACATTATTGAGATGAACACAGCTATGAATGGCTAAAACCCATTGTTCTAGGGTCATGGGTGAAACATGATTGTTGATGTTTTGTGTTTAATTCAACAAAGTTGGTTTAATCATATTGGGTTGTTTATTTAATTCTGTTCTTAATTATTTTGCTGAGTAGCTAACAGTGGTATAGTATCTACGAATCTATAGTTGAACTCAAAAGTGGGAACTTTGGATTGCATATAGAATTAAATAGAGCAAGTTCTTGAACCCGGGCATCGGGGAACGGATTCGCAATTAGGATAGACATATAGCTAATTGCCTTGCTTGTTTGAAATACAAGATTTATGAATGCGTTCTTGTTGATTCTAACTCCATAGACATATAAGCGTTAGGTTAACTTGAATAGGCGAGGTAAGAATTCGACAGATTCTTATGAGCAATGTTAACCCTGTCAATCAACAACCCAGATAAATCAATTAGTTATTTTAAGCCAAGAACGCAACATGATTGTTAACTAGCCCGTGACCTTGGAATATCCTCTCCTACTGTTTGTTACTCGAAATTGCTGGTTGTTTGGTTAATTGTTCTAGTTAAATTATTGCTTGATAGTTTAGGTAGTAAATTAGTTACATCTCTATTTTGTGATAAACCTCTTGGATAGATAAGTTAAGTGAGTTTGAATTAGTCAACAGTTAATCACAAGTCTCCGTGGGAACGATACTCTACTCACTACTTTATTACTTGACGATCACGTGCACTTNACATTAAGGGCAAGCTTATGGTACCAATTGCATGCATGTGACGTCTTTTGTGTAGTGTTGAGTGAGTTTTCTTTGATAGTATGTGTAGCATGAAATTCGAATGTGTGGATTGATTCTACTTTCTTTGCTGTGATTGTGAGGGCATGTGACTCGTGAAGGAAAAGCAAGTCTTGGCTTCTTTGTAGAGTAATTTGAGAAAGTGTGAATATTGCGTGGCACTTGGACTTGACCTTTGAGGCTGAGATTGTTCACTATTAGGTGTAGCATATGTGAATTGTTCTGGGTGTAATGCGTTAAGGGAACTTGTTGAGTGGAACCTCTAGAGAGTATAGTTTGATTGCTCGAGGACGAGCAATGAATTAAGTGTGGGGTATTGATAATAGGCTAAGTCTAGGTGATTTGGCGATTGTTTATGCTCCCGCTTGATTATGTTTCAATGTCATAATATGGTTAAATGATGAAAAATGGGCTCTAATTGTGAATTTTACACATTGCAGGATGGTGAGCCTATATGATGCCTTAAAGTCGTGATTGGAGTTGCATTGGATCAAGAAAGACCCCTTGGAGCTGAGTGCGCGCAAAGACGAGACAACGAAGTGAAGAAAAAATGGCCCGAACTAGCGCGAAGCCTAGCGCGAGGTCTAGCGCGTTTGCGCTAGTCCAGAAGCGAGAGGCAGAATGTCAGGGAATTAGCGCGAACCTTAGCGCGAACATTAGCGCGTTCGCGCTAGTCCCAGTTCCGAAAAGGGTCTGTTAGGGGAAAAATCGAAAATCTGGAGAAAATCCCACTTAACCTATATAAAATCAAGCTCGCCCAAGGATTATTTATCAAGGTTTTCATAGTCTAGTGCAAGAAATAGAGAGGCAAGAGGCAAGGAGGAGATTTGATCATCAAGTTCTTCTTTTCTTCCCTTTGTTTTTGCTATTTGTGATGAAATTGAACCTTATTGTGGTGAACACTAGTATGAGTGGCTAAAACCCATTGTTCTAGGGACATGGGTGAAACATAAATGTTGTTGTTTGAAGTTTAATTAGACAAAGTTGGTTTATCATATTGGCTTGTTTATTTAATTCTGCTTTTAATTATTTTGCTGAGTAGCTAACAGTGAAATACTATCTACGAATCTTTAGTTGAACTCGAAAGTGGGAACTTTAGATTGCATAAAGAATTAAATAGAGCAAGTTCTTGAACCCGGGCATCGGGGAACGGATTAGCAATTGGGATAGACATATACCCAATTGCCTTGCTTGGTTGAAATACAGGAATTGTAAATGCATTCTTGTTAATTTTAATTCTGTTGACATATAGGCATTGAGTTAACTTGAATAGGCGAGTAAGAACTCGACAGATTCTTATGAGTAATATCAACCCTGTCAATCAACAATCCAGATAAATCAATTAGTCATTTTAAGCCAAGAACACAACACGATTGTCAGTTAGCTCGTGACCCTGAAATATCCTCTCCTACTGTTTGTTACTCGAAATTGCTGGTTGTTTGGTTAATTGTTCTAGTTAACTTATTGCTTGATAGTCTAGGTAGTAAATTAGTTACATCTCTCTTTTGTGAAAAAACCTCTTGGATAGATAAGTTAATTGAGTTTGAATCAGTCAATAGTTAATCACAAGTCTTCGTGGGAACGATACTCTACTCACTACTTTATTACTTGACGATCACGTACACTTGCGTGAGTGTTTTTGGTCGTAACAGCTTGAATTGGGAATTTAGTAGCTTAGTCATTCGGCTGGGTTAATAAAAATATAGAGGGAAAAGGGCATGGGCAGGGGTGGGTAATTATCTTTCATGGGATGGGTATTTGCTAAACTTCCCCAATAACTAATAGGTCTAAAAGGACAAATGAGAGAGATGCTTCATTGGTGTCGTAATAGCCACTCGGTGATTTGCTTATAGGTCACTTCGGTGCCATTATTAATTGTTTGATCTTGCTTGCTTTATGGAAAAAGCTTTAAGTTTAACAAGTGTTGCCTCTCGCTTATCCCCTCCAGTTTGCTGATAGTTGTTAGACCCTTCTAGTTTACACATATTTCGCTAGTCGTAGTTTTTTTTCCAGTTAGTATTTGTGATACCCGCATTAAAGCTTTAACTAGTCTTAATTCATATCGTGCAAAGCCTATTAAAGAAAAACATGCCCTACTTGTATGACCAAAAGTATAAATCTTAGTTCAACTAATTAGACTTATACAAATAAGGGTTAATTTTAGTTAATAATAATATCCTAAAGACGAAATTCATGGTATTAATTATGATAAATAACACGTACATCTATTCCGAAGGTTATGATGGTGCACAATAATGACAATATTCAAGAACCCCAAAAGAATAGATACAACATTATATAGTGATGAATAGCAATAAACGATATTTATGTAAATAAAACGGATGAGTCACCCGAGAAAGGATGAAATCAGTGGATATTTTTTCTGACAATGATGAATGATTGATAAGCCTTTGAATATTCGAGTTATTCTCGGATCTAGTGTAAAATGTGGACAAGAATCTTAGTAAAAATGTTATTTTTGTACGCCTCTAATAAGACCAGATTCTCTATAAATTGTCAAAGTGTGTTTTACAAGTGAATATCTCATGTCCATTATCATTGTGTCTCTTTCTACTTATAGGGAACATGTTCCTAGAAACAGGGGCAGATTTACCTTTGTTCAAGCGGCGTCTCATCAGAAAATTTCATCAAATATACTACATTCTATTAAATTTATAATATTCTAAGTAAGTCGTTATAAAAGACGAAATGACAGTGCTTGCCAGCAGGCGTGTCCTGGTCCATTGGTTAAGCTACTAAATTTGAGTAGGAGGTGAAAGGTTCGAATCTGTACAGTTTTTTGCATATGCACACTAGTTTTGCTACCTCATTTTCTTTCCATTTCTTTTTAGTAGAATTTCTTGAAGACTTATTCTTTGTGAGTTGGATTCGTGGAACTATTTAGGAGTTATTTTAATTTGAAATTAACTTTAGTTTCAATGTGGAGATATCTTCGTAAAGCACATGTTAAGCATTCAAAATCAAGTTTGACATCTGAAAGTTCATCTAACTTGAAAAAAAAGATTAATGAGGCGAAACCACGTCTACACCGGGAAAGAATTATTTTAAGTTCCTTAAAACTTATTTAAATATGAATAATTGGGTGTTGACTTATATATATGAGGCTTTATGAATACATTTCAGAAAATGCATGCGTAATTTTTTTAAATGTCGACACTGCTTACAAAAAATTCTGCGTACGCCCCTGCCTAGAAACCCTAATAGTAAATGTGTAGAGAATATCCACTAAAATATTCTAGTTTATGTCTTATCTTAGAACTAGCCGTTATAACTCTGTCTATGGTACTCGATCTCGACCTCGAACTACGGTGACTTCGCGCCCCTGATCTTTGCTGACTCTTCGACCACCTCTTTCCTCGCTTCTAGGCCTTAGCCCCTATGCCGATATTTGTGGGGACCTTACTGATAGCACGTGGCAGTCGTTGAAGGCTTTAATAGTACTGACATGGCTTGCCCATATAATAGATATTTTTTGGCCCATGCAGTTAGTCCCTCCGCTTATCAAGGTCGTCCTCGCCGACGAGGTCGATGAGTGGACAATGTCATTTGTGATACAATTTATCGAGCCGGCTATATAGGTCATGGTCGTGGAGACAGGGCAACGTGGTTTTCTGAGGGCTGTGCATTTTGAATTCTTTAAATTTTCCAAGAAGATCGTTGGAGCTATCTGATCCAAAAGAAAAGTTGACGTCGTGACGCCATGCGTCATAATAACGCCGTTCCCGACGTGTTGCATCAATTCAAGTGTGACCCTTAAGTGGTTCTACCGTTTCGATTCTGGTGCCGTTTCGATTCTGATATCAGAGCGGAGGTTTTGGATTGTTTTATCAATCCTTGGGTCTTTGTTTTGACTATCATCTAAAGAAAATAAAAATAAAAATCAGAAAAACGAAAATCTTTCCAAAAAAAGGATGTTACTGTTCATAAGATGTTTTGAGCCCAAATAGAAACATAGGTTTGGTTCTTCACTGTTTCATTTAGAAATTCGAATTCCTTGGGCTCGTTGTTGATTTTGGTTCTAAGATTTCTAATTTCTTCATTATCTGAGCTTGTATTACTGGTTTGAGTTTGGATTGAAGCTGGGTTTGAGCTTCTGAACCCTAAGACGTCGAACAACAGTAGCGATTTTGGGGATTTTGCTTCGGTTCCGAGATTTGAGTTTGAATTCAATTGGGAGTTTGGGAATCTAGTTGGAAACATCATTTTGAAGCTGAATCGGAAGGATTAGCTCGATTTGGACTGATTTACTAGTTTTTGGTTCGAAACTTTGAATCGATTGTGCGGAGAAGAAGACGACCTAGGGTTCATCGATTTCGTGAATGTTTGTTCAAATTGGTTCCGGGGTTTGATCTTGGAGTGCTTTAGAAGTTGAATCCAGTGTTTGAAATCAATTGGTGAAGATTTGAGTGAGTTTGAAGCCGCATAACCTACGCCTCATTCCTACGCCCTTCTTTACGCGACTACTCGACGCAACAGGTTTGACTCTTCTAAGTTGAAACTTAGCTTCATGAACTGAATTTCATCTTTGAGTTCATGGAATTGAAAATAGCTTCTAATTCTAATGTAGTCCTAATCCATTTAGTGTGATTGATTGAGGAATTTGAGTTGAGTACTCGAGCTGGTAGCAGCTTCGTGTTGAATCTGAGTTTGATCATAGACTGCTAGTTGAGAATATGATCTTACTTGTGATCAAAGTTAATTGGGGACTGTCGTCGAATGCATTTAGTCGATAGTAGCTATTAGCGACTCAAGTTTGAGATGTTCTGAAATTGTATGAACTGAGTTAGTTTCCTGAATTGAGAAATCTTGTCGCAAATCCTGAGCTGAATATTGTTTAGGAGTTCTGTAGACTTTGTTTGAACATGTATTGCTGCATTTTGTTGAAGGTTTGAGGGCAAAAGAGGGGTGTACAGATTTCTTTAAGCATCAAATCTTGAAGAACATTGTCCTGTTCCTGAAATTCTGTCCTTGCTGAATTGAGCAGCTCTCTCTGCTGAATTAAACAGCCTGCAAAGTGTACTGAGTTTGAGTTTTTAACTGGTTACTAGCTACCTAAGTTGCTCGGACACGGGTACGGATCTAGAGGTCGGATCCTTCGAGATGTAAATTCTAAGATTCGGGGATACGGAACCTAGTACAGATACGGGTGCGGGGATCCGGCTAAAAATAATTCAAAAAAATAAAAATATAAAAAATGTCTCTAAATTATGTGAAATACTTAAGTATAGATTGTGAAGTGTGGATTTTTTTTTATTATCAAGTTGTAGATAAGTAAAGGATTGATTTCTTAGACAATGTATGCTATTTTCTTCAACTTTACCCTAATTATTAGGATTCTGATTTCGGGAACCAAATTGTATCTCGTCTCGAATTTTCCGTCGGTCGTGGTCAAAGTACCCGAAATTGTCTGACCAGATTCGTTACGGATCCCATACCCATACCCATACTAGTGTCGTGTCGACACGGGTACGACACCTAAACTGCCATGTCGGAGCAACTTAGCTAGCTACTGCTGATTTCTGTAAGCTCTTGTTGAAAATTCTTTGCAAGCTTGTAATCGCATTGAAGGTCGTTGATTAAGCATAGACTAATAATAGCTTTTGGTTCTGAGTGTAGTTTTGGTTTCAAATCTGCATTTTGTTGAGGGGCTGAGTTTAGAGGGTGTTGAACTGAGTTTGGGGGAGTGTTTGAGAGCAAATTTCTACCCTGTTTCTGATGTACTTTCAAGGTTTTGCATCTCTCAAGTACAAAGAAGAGAGAAAAACAAAAGCACCCCGCTAAAGTTTTTCACAAAACTAGCGAAAGCGTTCTTCAAACTCACGTTAGAAGAATGTAAGATGGAAAGAAACGTCACCCACACGTTTCCCAATCCCGCAAGATTGCAAGAAGCGTTGAATAAAGGAAGAACAATGAAATAAAAAGTGAATCACGTTTTTGAAGCAATAACTTAGAAAAACTAATCACCAATCTTTATTTTCAGCATATTGAGCCCTTTAAATAGGCCTTACAATGAGTAAAATTGATAAGGTTAAGGAAAAGTAATCCTAATTAAACTAGAATAAGAATAAGGCTAAGAAAACCTATCCTAACTAAAATTGGAATGGTAATTCTAGTAAGAATGGGATACCAACTAACAATCCTAGTTTGACTAGAACTACAAATATAATCCTACTAAAACAAAAATTAAATTACTAGGAAACAAGAAATAAGCTTCTTGAATTTATTGGATATTTAGCATTCTTGATCTTGCATCATTCTCTCTTGGTTGAAAAAGACTCGAGGACGAGTCTAACAGCTTCTATAGATGGCACAAGATTTACTATAGTAAGAATGGAGACCCAAGGGGGAAAATTGGGGACCCAATGCTCACCAGGTTCTAGGTTACATTTTGCTAGTTTATCATACAACTTCTTCACGTTGTAAGCAAACTTAGCATGTGGTCGAACTAAATTCGACTTTCTATGTTTTAACTTTCTATCAAGTCCTCTCCATGTAATCTTTCTATATTGACTCTCAAACTTCAACTTACGATATGAAGTTATTGGTATATAGTTAACCAACTCCATGTCTAGCTTTGAGTTAAGCATGGAGATCAACACTCTTCTTGGGAATGCATCAATTGCATCGCTCGTACGCCAACAATCACTTTGATGATAGCCATATATATTTATGACGTTAAGACATCTTGTTTCTCCAATATATGGACTGAAACTCTCCAATATCCACTCCTTTATAGGTAATTTTTCCTCTTTTTCTAGCATATTTCTATGGACTTTAGAATTAATGCAATATGCTACCTTCTTTGGATTGATAGAGTCAACAATCAAGTCAATATTGTGTTGAGCATCTCTAAAAGGCAGAAAATCAATCACACACATAGTTGGGTTCGGATCATCATAAAACTTCGGTGGGAACTCCTCAATTAGTAGATCCAATACTTGTTCCTCGTCTCTTTGATATTGGTCTTTATCACTTTTGTCCTCTTCACGCCCCTGATTATCTGAATATTTATCATAATGGGCATGGTGTCTTGTTACTCTTGTGCCTTGGTCAGCTTTGACCTCTTCAGCTCTTTGTGAATGAATTGGTGGATATAGAAGTGGTAGGTGTGACAGTTGTAGGCGTTGTGGCGAATTTGGTAGTTGATATTGAAACACCAAACTTTCAACTAATTAGTCAGATTCTCCATTGATTCCTTCAAGTCATCTAGCTGCACTTTAATTTCTTCGTTGTCTCGTTCAAGGATTCTAGTTCTTAATTTATGAACTTTTAATTGAAGATCTATTGAAGAGGATCCCGAACTTGGTATTTTCTTGTTTGGTGACATGATGAAAAATGTAGCAAATCAAGAATTCGGACCTGGAACTTGTGCTCTGATACCAAATTGATGCACTTTCAAGGTTTTGCACCTCTCAAGTACAAAGAAGAGAGAAAAACAAAAGCACCCCGCTAAAGTTTTTCACAAAACTAGCGAAAGCGTTCTTCAAACTCATGTCAGAAGAATGTATGATGGAAAGAAACGTCACCCACACGTTCCCCAATCTTGCAAGATTGCAAGAAGAGTTGAATAAAGGAAGAACAATGAAATAAAAAGTAAATCACGTTTTTGAAGCAATAGCTTAGAAAAACTAATCACCAATCTTTATTTTCAGCATATTGAGCCCTTTAAATAGGCCTTACAATGAGTAAAATTGATAAGCTTAAGGAAAACTAATCCTAATTAAACTAGAATAAGAATAAGGCTAAGAAAACATATCCTAACTAAAATTGGAAAAAGAATTCTAGTAAGAATGGGATACCAACTAACAATCCTAGTTGTCACGACCCAAATTCCGAACCCGGTCGTGATGGCGCCTCTCGCGAAGAGAAGGCCAGCCAACTAACCCAACTCGTCTTTTCAAAAATAATTTAAACATGAATAAACAGCTAAAATATGACTTAATAATATTAATTAGCGGGATTACAACCCCACACAACCCTAATCGGGGTGTCACAAGTCATGAGCATCTATAAGAATGTAATTACATTTACAAGTCTAGAAATACACTGAACAGGAATAATGAATAGCATAGAAAGAAATGGTGCTGCGAACGCTGGCAGTCACCTCGCTAAACTACTACAGCTCTGCCTCCAAACAGCCAATACCCGCTAGCGGGTGAATAAATACCTGCAACTGCACACAAGGTGCAGGGAGTAAAGTGAGTACTCCAACTCAGTGAGTAATAAAGGTAAATAACAACTGAGCAGTAAGAAATCACGTAAAGCAACCAACATGCTTTATAGAAGCAAGGTACAATCCTTTGAGAAAAAAACAGTGAAGCTATGAAATCTTTAGAAATATATTGGCTCAGTTTAAATCTCTTTTGAAAATGATCTTTTCAACAGTTACGAAACGATTTCAAAACAGCTGGTGCTGACAAGCACAGAAAAATCCGCCCCTCGGGCACAAATACCGCAGTATAACAGGTAGAAAGGCAAGTAAATATGCAAGATGAGCACATAAAAGTTCGCCCCTCGGGCGATATCTCAAAACAGTACAAGCCCCTCGGGCTCACTCTCAGAAACACTCTCAGCCCCTCGGGCTCTCTCTCTCAGATCACTCTCAGAACAGTATCATATAGTAACCGCTGCGACGTGCAGCCCGATCCACATCTCGCTGCGGCGTACAGCCCGATCCATATATCGTCGACGACGCTCACTGGGGGTGTGCAGACTCCGGGAGCGGCCCCTTACGCCCCAATCGCAATATCAAGCCACCTCGTGGCATATAACATAAGGCCTGAAACCCTTCTCACATCACACTCGAGGCCTGAAAGCCTCCTCACATCACACTCGAGGCCTGAAAGCCTCCTCACATCACACTCGAGGCCTGAAAGCCTCCTCACATCACACTCGAGGCCTGAAAGCCTCCTCACATATGGCCCTCGGCCTCTCTCAGTCCAGAAAACATCATAAGCCCCTCAGGCATCAATAAAATAGTAATGCTCAGGCCAAACAACATTGGAAATATCATTTAAGTCTCAAAGTTCAATTAAAGCGGCTGAGTTTGTAAAACAGTATAATCAACAGGACTGAGTTCAAGTAGTATATCAAAATAGTGAGGAAACAGTGATAAAAATCCCCGAAGGGTTCAGATAATTGGCATGAAGCCCAAATATGGCAATCAGCCCAAATCGTGATAATAACAAATAACTTTCAGTCAAAATACACGGTAAAATCATCAATCGGGACGGACCAAGTCACAATCCCCAACGGTGCTCTACCCCACGCTCGCTATCCGGCGTGCAAGTCACCTCAATATAGCACTACGGTGTGCAATCCGGGGATTCAAACCCTCAGGATATCATTTACAATCATTACTCACCTCGAGCCGGCAAAATCTGTAGCTCGCAACGCCTTTGCCCCTCAATTCGGCCTCCACGCACGTCGAATCTACCCAAAATCAGAGCGAATACATCACAATATGCTAAGGGAACAATACCCAATCGAAAACAATCGAAAAATATCAAGAATCTCGAAATTAGCAAAACCCGAGCCCCGGGCCCACTTCTCGAAACTCGAAAATTTTCACATCAATAGGTTCCTCATCTCCTCACGAGTTCATACATACCAAAAGTACTCAAATCTGACCTCAAATGGTGCCTCAAACCCCCAAATCAAATTTCAAAATCTCAAGCCCTAGTTCCTTCCATTTTGGCTTAAGTTCCATGAATTTCTAGGTGGATTTCACAACAGAAACGAGTTTTAAGACCAAAATTCTTACCTCAAGTCGTTTCCCCTCGAATCCCTCTTTAATCTCCACCAAGAAGCTCTCAAAATGATCAACCATGGAGGAAAAATGACCCGAAATCGCAGATGAAGTGACTTAAAACATTCTGCCCAGTTCTGAACTTCCTTCATCGCGTTCGCGACCTCAGCCTCGCGAACGCGAAGCACATTTTTATTTTATCCAAAATTAACCTTACGCGAACGCGATACCCGCACCGCGAATGCGATGCTTTATTCCTCATACCTACACGAACACGACTCACATGATGCGAACGCGAAGAGCAAATCCGCTGGACCCCAACTCCTTATACGCGAACGCGAGCAGGTCCATGCGAACGCGAAGCACAATACTTAGCCTTCCGCGAACGCGGGGCTTCAAACGCGAACGCGAAGGCTTAAATTCCTGCCTTCCAATTTCCTTCTACGCGAACGCGAGGTCCTCTCACGAACGCGAAGAGATAAATCTCTGCAACACCTGAACTCAAATTCTGCAACTTTTAAACTTAGAAAATAGTCCGATTGACCATCCGAAACTCACTCGAGGCCCTCGGGACCTCAACCAAACCTACCAACATAACCCATAACCTCATTCAAACTTGTTCCCATCATCAAAACACCTCAAACAACATCAAATTACTCAAAACTCATCGAATTCAAGCCTAAGTTTCCAAAAACCTCCGAAATACACTTTCGATCAAAAACCCAACCAAACGATGTCCGAATAACCTGAAATTTTGCACACACAATACAAATCACATAACGAAGCTACAGCAACTCTCGGAATTCTATTCCGACTCCCGAATCAAAATCTCACCTATCAACCGGAAATCGCCAAAATACTAACTTCGTCAATTCAAGCCTAATTCTACACCGGACCTCCAAAACCAATTCCGATCACGCTCCTAAGTCACAAATCACCCACCGAAGCTAACCAAATCATAAAAACTCCGATCCGAGCTCGTATACAAATAAGTCAACTCTTGGTCAAACCTTTCAAATTCAAAGCTTTCAACTGAGACTGTTCTTTCAAATTCATTCCGTTTTTCCTAAAAACCGAAACCAACAATCTTCATCAGTCATAATACATAACACGGGGCAAGTCATGCCCGAGAACTGGCGATCAAAGTGCAAAAGCTCAAAACGACCGGTCGGGTCGTTACACTAGTTTGACTAGAACTACAAATATAATCCTACTAAAACAAAAATTAAATTACTAGGAAACAAGAAATAAGCTTCTTGAATTTCTTGGATTTTTAGCATTCTTGATCTTGCATCAGTTTCTCCACTGCTTGAGCTGCTGAAAATCTGCAGCTTTGGACTAGAATTTGGCAGAAGAATAGCTTCAGTTCAGCAGTATTATGATAGCAAAATCTGCACAATTTAAGCTGAGTCTTTCTGCCTGGTTCCAGTGAGTACTGATCAGTTTTGAGCTGCAGTCTCAGTCCAGTTTTTCTGCAATTTCTTACCTAGTTTCAACTTGCATTTTAAGCAACCAGTTTTGTCAACAAGAATCTGCAGATTAAGCAGTTCCCTGCTGCTACAGCTGCCTCTGTCTAGCCTTTGAGAAATCTGCACAACTGACTTATTTTAGAACCCTGAAGCTGCTAGTTGTTGCTAGGACTTTGTTGCTGCACTTCTTCAATGTTTGGCTACAGTTTTACATTGTCTATTGTTTCTACTTTCTCTGTGAACTTTACTGGTTGGGTATTGAACTGAAAATCTGCCGCATTGTTGCACCAATTGTTCACCTGTTCTACTCTAGTTGTTTTTATCTGTTTGGACAACAACACCTGCAGCAGAATAAGCTGAAATCTGCACAGTTCCTGCTTCTTTGTCTGCCATTGCTGAACTTCTTTGCCTGGTCTGGAACCTGTCCTCGTGTGTATTTTGTCTTTGGTGATTTTCTATTGTTTGTTTGCTCTTTTCCATTTTGCTATATCTGCCTTTTCTAAGGTACTCAAATTTGTTCATTGTTTTGTTTATTTATCCTTTATGGTTTCTGTGCACATGAATCATGATAGGCGAAATAGATTCAAAAAGCTTGAAAATGGAGGAAGAGAAGATTTCCAAGTTCCGCTAAATTTTCCTCTATTCTTTCTTGGTGAGCAGTAAATCTTTTCTTCTATTTTTTATAGAATATTGATTTAGAATTTTCATTTTTCTGCAAAGTTATTTTTTAATTTGTGCTTTATTTTTCTTCTTAATTCAATTTATAAGATTTTGAATTGTTGATTTACATGTAGTTTTCCTCTTTTTATCAAAATTGTTTTGGGTGGGTTCTGTGTGTCCATGTGGTTATTTTGTTCAAACTCTTCTATGAATTTTTTTTCGCAGGTAAACAAACTGTAACAACGCTAAGCACATTGAATTTCCTCTGGACAAAAACTTCTACTTAAAAGGGAAGAACAACTAAGGTGCTTGACGATATGCTGAAATAACTAAATAATTTCATATTCCATATTTCTTATTATGTAGGTTATTTATGATATAAACATCTATCCTTAGAACACAAATATAGGACTTTTGGAAAAAGTTTTGGTAACTATATATATGGCACTAAAAATGCAGCATACCCTTTAAAGGGGATGTCGTTTCAAATTCATTTGTATATGAAAAAGCAAAGCTTTTCGAGAGAAGGGAATTAATGTGGATAATTCTTTCATGGTGCCCTACATTTTGAAAATGCTGCATTACTAATGTCGTTTCATCGGAAATTCATCATTAATTGAAAGCTTTCATTCTATCTCTCTGCTGGGAGATCTATTTAAACACTAAGGAATAGATAATTAATTTCATTAATTCTCTCTTCGTCTCATTTGACGATTAGGTCAGTAGAAATCTGTATCAATACAATCCTTCTTATGTGTTTGTCAACCTATTGATGATTAGATGCAGTACTTGTGATATCTGTGATATTTGAGCTTTTTGATTGCCTCTCGTAATTAAAATATGATATTTCCGTTTTGGTTGTTCTTTATGTTGTGTGCTTCTGAAACTAAGTGCTCTACTCTTCTCTGCAGTCATGAGGAAAATGACTGCAAGAAGATAGCAACATAACACGAGCGAACTTCTTTAGGCAAATAATTATCTTTTTATATTTATGTAATAATGTGCTCTACTCTTCTCTGTAGTCTCAACCAACTAAGATCCCTCAAGGCACCGTATGTCTCATTCATATTTGTTAACGTCAACAACAGTACCTCTAGCTCGATAAGACAAAAAACCCTTAAATAAGCATTAATATAGGGCAATATCCATTATATTGTTAATTTGTTTCAATCTTTCTTCACCGTATTTTCTTTTTATCATGACTTTCACTCATTCTTGATCAAATGAGAACCAAATTAAATGGTTGAAAAACTAACGACACATAATTAAATATGACCGGGAAAGCTACACTTGTGAAGGACATTGTTGCCACTCTATATATGCCAAATAATGTGTTGCAATTGTACTCACTCCCTAAGTCTGTCACAAATAGCACTGATAAAATTCAAAGAAATTTTATAATATATGGAATGCTATTGCTGACAGGAAAAAGTGTTGCCTCCTAATTCCTATACTGCGATATTATTACCAAGTTTAAAAATGAGGGAGGACTAGGCTTATATAAGAGACCCTAATGGAAAAATAATTCCTTGGTGGCATCTTTGGCCTGGAGGCTAAACATTACTTGCTAATACCAATAAAACCTAGATTCTCAAGAATTATCATAGCAGGAAGTTTATTGCCTCCATGTTTGTTGGGTTTCGTTAACTAAAACAAAAGAGGTGTGAATGGAAAATGGTGGGATAAGAAATGAAGGGAAATGAATTTTGAATTAGTCCTTTTTACTAAGAAACTTTGTCCCTCATTGGATAGGAAGAGGAAATTCTTGTGCTTGTATATAGAAGCCCTTCTTCTAGCTCTTAACGAGTTGAGAAGAGAGCAAGTCTCGCACCGTCGTCGCTCGGCTCGACTTCGGATTCGGCTTCGTCCAACGGTCAATTTCGCGACCAGCCATTCCGTTTAACAAAAATTCTGTCGAATAGATACCACACAAGAAAATTGTGACCTCGAAATTTTTCTGTTTTGTTTTCTTAAACTAACGTTTTTCTAGTTTTTTTGGTTTTGAATACAGAGAGGTAACAATGTTTTCAGAGACGAATTCATGATTTGGAGTTTATAAGTTTTTATGGCGACTTCAATTTAATATACAATAATCATTTGATTCCAATCAAATATATATTTACAGATATTTAGACGTGGATTTTGGATCCGTGTTCGAAAAACATTAGAAGGGGCTCGAAGTTAAATTTGGAAAGAATGATCTAATTAATATATCGTCGGGGATGGCACCGCAATTGGATAAACCACTCCCCACAATGATTGATGCATCTCCAGTAATAATTTGCAAGGTGTGTGGTACGAACTGCCTCTGAAATAATATATTGAATACATCGCACCGAGTGCAAATTAATTTGCATCCAACTACTGGAAAATAATGTTCGGTACCCGCCCATATTTACAAAGTCTGCCGATATATTTATACTTCTTGCCTTTCCAACAAAGTTGATAAAAATTTTACAAAGTTAGTCATATTTGGTACATGTTATGATATTGGAGCTTAGTTCTTATGATGATACCAATCTACCAATAAAAGGACAAGTGATGTGAATAGGAGTTGAGCTTTGTGTAAATACCAATTTTCATAGAATATTGAAAATTCCTATGTGCTAATCATAGGAGACGTTTTGAGTAGAGTCGTCCTTTCAGAAGCACCTTGAGCGATATTTAGGAACTTGTAAAACTTTAAATATTTTCACCAATAAAAAAAACTTGAAATATTAAAATAACAAGGTACTTTAATTTTAATTATGTGATCTGATAGAAAATTAGTTGTGACATTCAAGTGGGCTATATGAAGACCTTGATGGGTTGGACTTATCCTTCGATGGGTAATACGTAAGACTCAACATAATAATTTTAACATCTTGCTGAAAGGATTGGGCTGGATTTACTCATGTGTTATTTTATCCCTCACAATTGAGCAATTTTACTTACATCCCCCCAGTATTCTTGAACTGGGTTTTGCTATTCTTTGCATTGTGTTTCCTCAAAATCGGTCCTTCTTCAGTATTTCTCAGTGAGCTCTCTTTCTTTTCTTATTGTAAACCTTTTTCTTATCAGTCTTTTTTTTTCCAGAAATTTTGATGGGTCTTCTCTACCGAGATGGTTGGAACGAGTAATGGTACATTGATTCCTCTTCCTTTTTCTATGTTGATAATTTTGTTTAATGGTATTTTTCTTGTTGATTTGAAAAAAATTTGTATCGTTATTTGTATATCATTTTCACTTCTTCTTATAGTTTGACGTTTCGTGACTTTTGTATTTGTTAGGAGACTCAGGACTATGAAATGGCTGTTCAAAGTTACTGTATGTGAGTGTTTTTCTTTTTTTTGCTCATAGTTTATTTGAATTGTTATTGAATGTTGTCCGCTCCAAATTTATCTTGTAGTTTTCAGTGTAAAACCTCGAATGCTAGAATTGCAGGGAATTTCCTCGCATAATAGTTGCTCAAATCTTGTGCGGCTTACAGTAGTTTAGACTTTAGATTTGTATGTCAACCAGTGCTTAATAGGAATCTTCGGTTTATTCTTGCATTAATTTATATTCATAATTTTTTTAGATCTTACTTTCCTAAAACTTCTGTTTCATGTGCTCATATTGATACATACCGGATGAGCATGCCTAACTATTTCCAAGTCAACATCATAACATTGGAGTGCTTTAAAGGAGCCGAGATCAAGAAGGCTATACTTGTAATAATTGACTAAGTTCCTTGTAACGACCCGGCCGGTCGTTTTTGGAATTTACGCCCCGATTCCCTAGTAACTGCTTTCCCCAAGTTTATTTCTGCTATTTTGATTTGTCGGGACGTTCGGTTTTGAGTTTCGGAGAGTTTTGGGACACATAGTCCCTAAAGGAGAGCTTAAGTGTTGGAAGATGGTCCATAGTCAGAACAGTGTGAAGACGGCCTCGGAATGGAAATTCGATGATTTCGTTAGTTTCGTTAGGCGATTTCGGGGTTAGGAGCGTGCTCAGAATGTGTTTTGGAAGTCCGTAGCTGATTTAGGCTTGAAATGCCGAAGTTTGAATTTTTGAAGTCTCCGGTCCGATAGTGAGATTTTGATCCGAGGGTCGGAATGGAATTCCGGAAGTTGCAGTAGCTCCGTCATGTCATTTGGGATGTGTGTGTAAGATTTCAGGTCATTTGGACGAGGTTTGGTTAGGTTTTTGATCGAAAGCGTGTTTTGTTAGAATTTGAAGTTCTTAGGCTTAAATCATTGATTAATTCGAGTTTCCGACGTTGTTTTAGGTGGTTTAAGGGTTGGTACAATTTTGAATGATGTTATGGGATATGTCCGTAGGTTTGATTGAGGTCCCGGGGACCTCGAGTGTGTTTCGGATGCTCAACGGAGCATTTTGGAGTTATGAGAAATTGCAGAAATTCTCTTCAGCTGTTGCAGACCATTTTCTTCTTCGCGATCGCGTCCCAGCTCACGCGATCGCGTTGAGCAATCTGGAGGGGGGCCCAATTCCTTAAACGCGATCGCATGGATTGGTTCGCGATCGCGTAGCTCTGCCCTCTCCTCTTCCGCGATCGCAACCCTTTTCACGCGTTCGCGTAGGCCTTTTTCCTGGAGCCTTTATTTTACTCTACGCGATCGCGGCCCCACTTTCGCGATCGTGATTCATTAAACACCTGGGCAGTTATAAATATTTCAAAACCGAGGGTTAGCCATTTTTATCAAAATACAAGCTTGGGAGCTCGGATTTGGGGGAAATTTTGAAGGTTTTTTTAGGGCAACTACTGGGTAACGATTCTCTACTCTCTTATGCTTAAAACCCACTAATCTAATCACGAATTCATCTTTAATTTCAGATTTTTGAATGAAAAATGGGGAAAACTTCATATACCAAACTATTGAGTTTTGAGTGGGTGTTTGACCTCCAATCTGGGAGATTTTTATATGGTTAGACTCGTGAGAGTACGAGGTTTCTGAAAATGTAAAATTTATCCGATTCCGAGAAGTTGGCCTGAGGGGCATTTTGGTCATTTTACCTAATTTCGCATCTTAGCTTTGAATTAAATCGTAGAATCAGTCGCTTGAGATGTTATTTACGATACGTAATTGAATTGAATAGATTTGGGCCATTTGGAGTCGGATACTCGTAGCAAAAGTGTGGTTTCGAGTTGATTTTGGAGCCGGTTCGAGGTAAGTGGCTTGTCTAACCTTGTGTGGGGGACCTTTCCCCTTAGGATATGATATTTGGTAATTGAATGCCTTGTACGTGAGGTGACGAGCGCGTACTTGAGCTAATTATTGAAAAATCCGGTCATACTTTAAATATTTAGACTGAGTTTCTTTCTTACCTGCTTTATTCTACTTGCAATTATAGCCTGTGTTAGTTTAGAAAAGCATGCTTAGTAGACCTAAATTGCCTATTTGCTTAAGTTGCCTCGATTGTACTACGTGAAGCATGTTAGGCTAGAACTACTTGTTGCCTTGTATTTTTGTTCTCTAGTTCTGAATATCTTCTTGTTGTGGCTGCGTATTTACATTGGGACTACGGATGTGGGATTCCGGTAGCTCCCCCCCTTTGTTTGTTTACTTTGGGACTGCGGGTTAGATTCTCGATAGATCCCCTTGCCTATTTACTTTGGGACTGCGGGTTCGATTCCCGATAGATCCCCCTGTATATTTACTTTGGGACTGCGGGTTAGATTCCTGATAGATCCCCCTGCCTATTTACTTTGGTACTACGGGTTCGATTCCCGATAGATACCCCCTGCATATTTACTTTGGGACTGCGGGTTAGATTCCCGATAGATCCCCCTGCACATTGTTAGTTGGACTACGGGACGGTGTCCCGGGAGATCCTTCGGATATATACATATGATGGACTACGGGACAGTATCCAGGGAGATCCACTGGACAGTTGAGAAAAGGACTACAGGACGGTATCCTGGGAGATCCTCATATTTACCATTGGTATTGAGCTGTACATATTCCGTGTTTACTCCGTTCCTTGTGTAATTGTTATTACTTTGTTTAGCCTGTCTTATTCCATTGCCGTACTCATTATTACTGCTTATTTTATACTGTTGCAAAAAAAAACTTATTATTATGATTAACCTCAGTAGGGCCTGACCTTCCTAGTCACTACCCAACCAAGGTTAGGCTTGGCACTTACTGAGTACCGCTGTGGTGTACTCATGCCCCTTCTGCGCATGTTTTTCATCTGGAGATCCAGTTACTTCATTCCAGGCGTATCACTCTCGAGGCGGAGAGATCTAGCAGCGACTTCGAGGTACATCTGCCGCGTCCGCAGACCAGGAGTCTCTATCTTATTCTAGCTTTAGCAGTTAGCTTTTCCTTTCGTACTTTTGCTTTAGACATTCTGGAGTTAGAGCCGTGTATTACTTTCCGTTAGCTTGTGTTCCCGTGAGTTTCCGGGTTTTGGGATGATATTGTAGACTTCCGCATTATTGGGTTGTATATGCCGAGCGACATTTATATTCAGTTACCCTTCTAGTTTGTTTAGTTTAATTACTTGTTTCCGCAATTTATGCTATTTCCGCATTGTTAGGCTTACCTAGTCGTAGGGACTAGGTGCCATCACGACATGTTCACGGAGGGCGAACTGGGGTCGTGACATCCTTGCCTTCTATTTGCATGAGGCTAATCCCTGCCTCCATACTTGCATGAGGCTAATCCTTGCCTCCCCGTCTGCATGGAACCAAACACTGTCCCTCCTTGCACAAATATTGCTCTATTTTTAGTACTATTTATTTGCTTTTCGATCGGGCTAAGCTCTGCCCTCCATTTCACAAGACTAAACCTTGTCTTGTTAACATCATACTATTATCATGGGCTGAAATATCGCCAACATATCCAAAGGCGTCATAGTCTAAAGGCATGATCCTCATAGCCAGAAGACACCATCCCATGGCCTGAGGATCCGTCAAATTTGCATACCATTATTCAAAGGCGTCATGGTTCGGAGGCACATTCTTTATGGCCCGAGAATGTCATTTCATGGCCTGCGAATCCCTCACTAAATAATTCATGGCCCAGGACATCATGGTCTGAGGACGTCATCTTTAAACCATCCGAAGACAACTTTCATGGTCCAAAGGGAATGTGCATCATGTTTAAATTTCCGCACAAGTACATGTTTGTAGCATCTTTTATCTGCAGGTAACCAGTAAGCAACCGCTATCCTAGCAAGAGCAATCTCGCTCTGGTTCCTCCCACTGTCTCGAGCCTTAGCCGCTCACCATAGCCGCTTCCGCATCGCGTGTCCATTCTTTCAATAATTTCATCGGCATATTCCGCAGATGAATCCAGAACTACACATGGCCTGATTCCTGTAAAACCAGGGATATGTAGGTAGCTCGAAGACCGGAGTCCAGCCTTTGTCTTTCGGAGCATCCCGTCCGTTCAAAATTGGCCATCATTTCTTTACCCGTAAACTCTTTCATCCTTCCCGGGTAAAGAGGGGCAGCTGTTGATACCCAATTTTTCCCTATATTTTTTTATATGCATAAATACTTTCAAAATAGCATGTATATGCATATACAAGCATGCACAAGGCTTTTATAATTTTTCTATAATTTTATTGATTTTAAATTAATTTATTTCCTTCCCTTTTACTCATAAAATCCCCAATAATTATCCCTCAAATTATTGTTGTGGTGATTTAGTCGTTTAAATTCTATGTTTATGCCAAAATATGGTTAAAATATTTTTTGTACATTTTTTTATAATTGCATTTATTTTTTTAAAACTAATTTGCATATATTTGCAATACTAGTCCTATTAATGCATAATTACATTTTTTGATGCATAAAATGATCTTCTGTATTTTTAAAATGTTAAATAGCTATTTAAATCATTTTGTAGAAATTATTTACAATTTATTATAAATTATATGGGGTTAAATTGGCTATTTAAAATATAGCCAGATTGCATTTCAATCTTAGCCCCAATTTAACCCAACCCCAGCCCAATTTCTAACCAAATTACCCAACCCAAACCCTAAACCCGCCTACCCAACCCAGAACCAATTAAATCACGGTCGTTGATCTGAGAGATCAACGGCTCGTATTAACCCTTTCCTTTTTTAATCCTAAACGACCCTAACCCTAACTCATTCTCCCAAACCCGCCGCCTCTGTATTCTCTCATCACCTCTCCTCTCTCAGTAACTCAACCAAACCCTAGTCTTCAACCGCCGACTTCTAATCTCCGACTATCTCCGGTGACTTCTCATTGTGATGACCCAAAAGGTCATCACTTGTTTTTAAAATGAATTTTGCATTATGAGGCCTTAAAAACCTCTTTTAGCATCACCTCGATTTGCGTGCACAGTCCGGACGCGTAGCCGGAAAGCCTATATGTGAAAATCTGTGAAAAATGATAAATTTTGACTATAAAATGGATTGATTTGACTTCGGTCAACGTTTTGGGTAAACGGACCCAGACCCGTGATTTGACGGTCCCGGAAGGTCCGTAGGAAAATATAGGACTTGGGCGGATGCCCGGAATAGAATTCCGAGGTCCCAAGCCCGAGAGATGAATTTTTGAAAGAAATTATTTTCTGAAAATATAAAGATTTTTAGA